AAAAAAAAAAAAAAAAAGAATTAGTAAATATATTTAACAAGGTCACCAAATACCAAGTCTGTATACTAAAATCAATTGTATTTCTATGTACTAGAAACAGTTAGAAAATGAAACTCAAAAATGTCATCTACAGCATCTTTAAAAAACGTTATCTATCCAGGAGTATATCTAACAAAAGAGGTCTTGCATAGCTCTACAGTGAAAACTACAAAACAGTGCTGACGAGAATTAAAGAACTAAATGTTCATGGGCTGGAAGACAAGATGCTAAGATGTAAATTCTTACGTTTCCAAATTGATCTATAGATTGATTGTAATCAAAATTAAAATCCCAGCAGGATTTGGGGGGTGGGGGACAAGGGAGTTAAATTAACACTTTGATTCTAACATTTATATGGCAACGCAAAAGTCCAAGAAAACCTAACAAATCTTGAAGAACAGTCAGAAGACTTACACTAGGAAATATTAAAACTTGTTATGCAGCTACTGGAATTAAAACAGGATAGTACGGAAGGGAATGGAGAAACCAAAAGCAGACCTCCACCTGATTTGCACGTAAACACCCGAACCAGCCGGCCTTGGTGAGACGCGCGCGCCCGAGCTCTGCGCGCTCTGACCAGTTCGGCCACCCAGTCCGCTGGCAGCGAGAAGGGCAGCCCTGACGCTAGGTCTCGCCTGGGCGGGGAGGACAATGCTTACTGTTTTCTTCTCTCCGGTCTCCTTCCGACGAGGCAGATGAGAGCCTCTTCCTCTCGCCCGGCTCCATGCCGGCCCCCGGCAGCTTGCCCTTCCTCCCTCCGGCCGCTCGGGCCCCTGCAGGGAGGGGCATCAGTGATGGACCAAGCGGCAGCTGCCCTGTCGGGGGCAGGTCTAGGGATCCAGGGCAGGCTAGGGCTGTGTCCAGGTTCTGAAGCCTGGTCCAGGCAGATCTGGGGTCGGGGCGGATCTGGGATCGGGCGCAGGTCTAGGGTGGGAGGGCAGTTGAGGCAGGTCTGGGGTTGCAGGAGTAGGGGTGGGAAAGTCTGGGGTAGCGGGGAGGCCTGGAGCTCGAGGCAGGGCTGGGGTTGGGGGGGCAGGTATGGGGTTCCAAAAAGGAGGAGATCTGGGGTTCCAAGGACATAAGGAAGGTAGGCAAGCCTGGAATCCCAAGGGGAGTGGGAGGGCGGGTCAGGGATGGGGGTGTAAGAGTTGGAGGGTTGGGCAAGTCTGGGGTTGGCTGAAGGTCTGGGGTTCCGAGGGGGGTGGACTAGAATCCCGGGGCGGGCGGGGCGGGGCCTGGGGTCCCATCTGGGATCCGCAGGGGGCACAGGTAGGGTTGCGAGGGGAGGTGGGATCCGTGCTCACCCGGGACCGGCCCCGAGGCGCGC